CTTATAAATGGTTCATTTTTAAGTTCAATCTACCAAACCCGAAATTGATACGATCAACCATTTATTTAATCGTGTCAAACTTCTTCTATCTTCTTGTTTGTATGTTAACACGAACAACACGAAATTGACACGATCAACATATTTAACTAATATTATAAAAAATAAAATATTAATTACTTGTTGTTTATTAAGCTCTGACATAATTATTGTATAAAAAAATATTTTTACTCATTATTATTGTTATGCTTATTAAATTAATTTTTAATTTATGGAAAAAGTATGTGCATGGATTCAGTTATGTGATAATAGAATCTTAGACTTAAATTTTAGCGTTAAATTTTTTTATTTAAAGTTTATATGGGTCAATACGAATACAAACATACCAGCACGGATAGTCCAACGGTGTGGAGTTGAGCTCAAATGAACCGTACGTTAGGGGTTTGACTCTTCCTGGTATCTCTCGAGCTTAACTGATACCTGTAATTTGTGGGTGATAGTAGGTATATGGGGTTTACTCTCCCTGGTGTCTCTTGAGCTTAACTGATACCTGTAATTTGCTGGTGATAGTAGATATATGAGGTTTACTCTCGCAGGGATGAGTTCAAAATGGCCTCACCTTAGAGAGATTTCATGTTATAAAAAAAAATGAATATGAATACCAATACGACATGAAAATAAACATGTTAGTCTAATTTTGTTTGGGGATAATATGTGTATTAAAGTGTAAAAGTTGATGATGTAATCACTTTTTTGACATTGCAAATAATGATACTAACCATAGGGGTACTTTGTGAAATTGGTAGATAAACATAAGGGGTATCAATGTAATTTTAGAAAATCTAGGGGTGTCTTTGTAAATAGATCAATCTATAGGAGGTGTCAGTGTAATTTATCCTAACTATTTTTACCATTTTTTTGCATACCACAACAATGATAAAAATACACACAATAATAATAAAAATATCCACAAATATAATAAATTTTTGTATAATACCAAAATTTACTTTTTCGTTACTATAGTCAAGCCCACCACTTTAATATACATATATACTTAGTGTTTGACTCCGTCGAGTATATGGATTACCCCTTTCTCCTCCCAATCCTCTTCTTCACTGTTTATTCTCTCTCACTCATTATTATTTTATAAGTTAGAAAAAAGCATTATAAGAATTGTTAAATTATAAAATTTGATGTTTGATTTTTTTTTTTTAAAATAAGTAGTGGTTAGGGAGAGTTTATGGATAGTTATTTAGGATGACTAAAATGCTATGCACACCAAAATGTACACCAAATCATTTGTAGCCTTTGGATCAATGGTGAGCCCCACTTTTTTTTTTTTTTCCTGAACCCCGGGCTAGCGATGCATGGAAAATCAGTGCTTTGAGGGCTACAGATGATTTGGTATATATTTTGGTGCACATAATTTTTATTGGAGAAATTTAGCAGAAGATGGAGAATTTGACAATTCAAAATTCTTAAAAATTAGAAAAATGAGAGAAAATCTTTGCAAGCCCTCTCTCTAAATGTGATGTGGTACGCCATGATTCTCAAGCCCTCGAGTCTTTATCAAGCCCTCCACTGTGAAATGGGATAAAATGATAAACCAAATATTACCGGATCGAATTGAAAACAATTTGTCCAATGTCATGTCATGTTGCATTTGAATCAAACATGGATTAGTTCGATCCAAAATTTGAGAAAATGGGTGTAAACCAAAAAAAAAAAGATTTTGTAAGTTTATCTATGATGAAATTATAGTCAAATTAACGACGAATGATCTCTAATTAACTTTAGTAAAACATTATATTAGAAGGATTTGAATACAAGTTTCCTATATTGAACTTTTAAGTTTCCAGTGATAGTATTGGGCTGATAGGCATGCCAAACATCTGGACCACCCCCCTCCCCCCCCCCCCCCCCCCAAAAAAAGATGTGACTGATTGGGGTTAAGAGGAATTAAAAAGCATAGGACCACCATTGACGTGTAGCAAATTGACAATTGCTTGGAAAAGGAGATCATGAAAATGTTTGAGTTTTCCTTTCACTAGTTTATATCAACCATTTATTGAATTGCGGATGGACCCTTCCAAGAACGGTTAGGTAAGAGTACGTCCTGTTGGGTAAACATCTCGTTTACCAAACAAGACGTCGAGAGTGTCACTTGGCATGCATCCATAGGGACAACATCACACCAAGCTTCATCATCATATTTATCTCCCAATAAAAATTGCACCAAACACAACCGGAAAAACATTACCTCTTCGGAACTAAGCAACTTTTTATAGATGCGGGGATGCTTCTGATATATACATGTATAGGCATATCTACCTCTCATAAGAACCCACGCTAAATTATTGAGCTAGATCCCCTCTCCTTCACATCATATCTCTCTCTCTCTCTCTCTCTCAGAGTAACACCCTCAAAACAAATGTATGTATGTATGTATATATTTGTGCGTGTGTTAACACCTAGTTTTAGTCCTATTAGGTTATATTGAATACAAACTAAATCTTTGATATCATTTGTACATGCTTACCCTCGAATTCAGGCTCATAGTCTAGAGATTATTGGGCTGGAATTAACCACTCAACCAATTAAGAGATATATGAATCCATATTAACTCTCCTTTCTCCCTCGCTCTTCTACTTTTTGCTATAAACTCAAGACACACACACACACAAAGAGAGAGAGATGTTGGTTTGAGGTATGCCATGAAGATTTGATTTAATTGACACATTAGGGAGAAATAAAAGGATAGTTGTTGTACTTTGACATTTTAAAAGCGATTATGTGATCTATAATTGGTTAGCTCTCTAATGGAGTTTGACGTTGAGGAAATTATTCCCCAAAATCAAAACTTAAGGGGAGTAATGGTGTGATTTTCCAAACCAAAGGAGTTTAATGGCGTGACATCGAGGAAATTATTCTGACTTAATAACAAATCTCAACATTTCTAGATGTAATTATTAAAAAATGTCGTGATTCTACTCTCCTTTTAACTTTATGCCATTTCAATTAAAGAAGTTTTACCTTGTTCATCTTGATCGATGTTTGAGAATAAGTCACCACTAATTTTCAATTCAAACCACAACCATCCACTTGAAGAACAGATTTGGATCATTGAACACCCTCTCTATAAATTAAAAGATTACACTTGCTTTGTAAGTGAATGAATCACTAATTATTGATAGTTAAGGAGCAACATCATGGGCCAACAATAATGTGCCTCGTGAAATGGATTCTTATTCAGACAAAAGGGACAAAATAAGCAATTAGGCCAAGAAAACAATATGCAAAAAAAGTTAAGTGTGAAAGGAAGAAAGATGACAATGCAATCACTATCACTTTTTGGTCACTCTTTCAAACCCGTTACTTAACGATCTAATAGTGGATTGCAATGACTATTAAGTCAATCGCTGATCCTCCGATTAGTATAGTTAAAGTTATATTCTTTTCAACTTCCTACTATTTACATGTTATTTCCTCCACCATCTTTGAATTCTTATTCCAATTTTCAGATAGTTTAAACTTTTGCAATGTCAGAACTAAAAAAAAGGAATTTTTTTTTTTTTTGCATTCAAGAATTTTTTTTTTTTGTTTACGAAAACTTAGATTTTAACCAATATATTTTACTTTAATTTTCTTCGATGATAAATCACCTAATCATAAATTTAAGTATGATTGACGTGAATTTCTATGTGCGAAAATCAATTAAATGAAATTGAAAAGAAATATGTTAAAGAGATTTACATCAGGTCTCTATATTTTCCTTTTTCATCTGTCACTTCATGACTAGAATGAATCATTCAAGTCCATAACTATAGGATGTGGACTTATTTGTTAATATAGGCATGCAAATTATAAAAAACAACTTGCAATTAAAAAATTCAAGCCAAACAGCAAGCACCCATGAAATAAATCCAAAGTGAGCCAATAGACCACACACCACTATGTTAAAAATGGTGGAGAAAACAATTGAAAAGAGCGAATACTTTTAGAAGTCCAACTTTCTGGGAGGCCAAACACTCCCCTTAGGGGTGGTAAACAAGTCGAACGAGCAAGTTTGAGAATAAGAGTTTGAATTTGACGAATTCGTTTTTTAAAACGAGCTCAATAAAGTATTCAAGCTCAGCTTACTTTTTTTAAAAAAATGAGTTTGAGTTTAGTTCAAAACGAGTCAAACTCGAACTGAGTTCGAGTATTTTGACTATTTTATATATAAACGAATCAAATTTTACATGTCTGAATCAAGTTTATAGGAAAAATCAATCTAATAAAACGTTCTGACTCGTTATCTAAATGAACGAGTTTGAATCAAGATCAAAATCAGCTGAGGCCGAATAGCTCGGATCGTTTACCTCCCCTATTTATCACCCCTAATATGGGAAAAAATGAATGGAAAAAAAAAAAAAGCAAACAGACCCTAGAAAAGCACTGTTTAGACTTCAGAAAATAAAACTTTAATCACGGTGTAAGCTGATATCACGGCGGTTAATTAGCGTTCTGTCATAATTACAACCGATTTTCTGCCGCGAGGAAAAGGTGAAGGGACCGAAAATTCAAACATAGGAAAGAGAAAAAGACACTTGAAAACGACAAAACCCAGCACATAGACGCACACTNGGAAAAGGTGAAGGGACCGAAAATTCAAACATAGGAAAGAGAAAAAGACACTTGAAAACGACAAAACCCAGCACATAGACGCACACTGAAAAACCCAAAACACAGAAACACAAAGAAACACTTTCCATTAGTGCAGCAAATTGTTCTGTTACTTCTCTAAAAGACAAACCAGAGAAACCACCATTAGATCAAACCCTGTGTCTTGCCAAAGATAAAATACGCACGCTCACTCACATTCACGCAGAGAGAGAGAGATAGAGAGTGTGTGCCAGTGGATAGCCATTGCCCACTTTCCTAATATAAAAAGCAAAACAATATTCTCTACTTTCTCCCTTCTTTTGCTACCACATTCTTTCACCCTCTTAACTCCACCTTTGCTCTCTCTCTCTCTCTCATCTGTTATGGCTACTCTTAGGGATATTGGGGTCTCAGCACTGATCAACATACTGGGTGCTTTTGCATTCCTGCTAGCGTTTGCACTTCTAAGAATTCAACCCATCAATGACAGGATTTACTTCCCAAAGTGGTACATCAATAGGGCTAGAACTAGTCCTAAACACACTGGGAACTTTGTGGGGAAGTTTGTCAATCTTAATATCAAGACTTACCTTACTTTCCTCAACTGGATGCCTCAAGCTTTGAAGATGACTGAGCCAGAGATTATCAACCATGCTGGCCTTGATTCTGCCGTTTTCTTGAGGATTTACACTCTTGGGTAGTCCAAAACTCGACCTCTTTCTCTGTTTTTCTTTTGTCGAATGAACGGCTTTGGGTGATGTTTATAATTTGAACTTGTGGACTTGATTATCCTCTGTCATGAAGAATTTACCTTCTGGGTTGGTGAAAATTTTGGAGTCCTGTTTTAGCTGAGAGAAATTTTGAATTCTGCCTCCTAAATTTAGTTCTTGTTTTGTGTAGAATCGATTTCTGTGCTAATCAATTTCGGGGTTAGTCAACCATTGAATAGGGATTGGAAAAGTGCCAATGTTTGTTGTATTTTTCTGCTCAATTTCTGTGAATTAGTATGTGGAGTCCGGGAATTAATGTTTATGGCCATTGTCTGCTGAGAAAGTTTAAGTACTGTGGCTGAAAATTTTTGAACACGCCCCCCCCCCCCCAAAAAAAAATAAATAAATAAAAGCTAACCTCAGTTATATTAGTTGCTTGACTCTGCTGTTGTCCTACAATTTGCTTTGTAGTATGAGCTTTTGCTTTCCTTTCTTACTCAGAGCTCTGTGGTTGGTTGTATAGGATAACTGACTATTAATAAAGCTTCACAATACAGACCAACTACTTTTAGTTTGTATACCTTCCTTGCCATGAAACAAGATGCTATTTATGGACACGCTTGTGGTTCTACAATTATTATAACTTAATTTAAGAATTAAGTGTACTGTTTTTACCTTTATCTTTCCTTGATATGGGCTCAGGTTTTCTATCTCCTTTGTGTTGTATGCAATTGTCGAAAGTTTAAGGTGGATCATAATGTCGGAAAAATATTGAGGCCATCTTTCCAGATTTAGTGGATTGATGCTAACTTGAATTAAAATGATTGCATATAATGATGCAATTGACACACGAGCATGTTGTTGTCACCATTGCAAGGTAACATACAAACGTCTAAATCCTTCATAACCTTTGGGAATAATGATGAAGATAAAGGGTATTAATTTTACATCCCACAGAGGTATTATTAAAGGTGAAGATGTTTCCCCATTCCAATTCTTTTTTTTTTCTTATTAAATTTTTTCCACCATATTCTTCAAATGAGATTCTTAGTTTAACATCACTATAGTGGTCATTTGAGTTGCAGTCGATATGCTCAATATTCCATAGCCTTGTCCTATGATGGCGAAGAATTTATGAACAAAAACTTCCTTGATATATTTCCTTCTCTCTCTTTCTCTCTCTGTCTGTCTGTCTTCTATATTCAGTCNTTCTTATTAAATTTTTTCCACCATATTCTTCAAATGAGATTCTTAATTTAACATCACTATAGTGGTCATTTGAGTTGCAGTCGATATGCTCAATATTCCTTAGCCTTGTCCTATGATGGCGAAGAATTTATGAACAAAAACTTCCTCGATATATTTCCTTCTCTCTCTTTCTCTCTCTGTCTGTCTGTCTTCTATATTCAGTCCTAAAATCTCTTTCTGAATGTGCATGCATGCATGTATGTATATATGTTTGTGTGCCTCAAAGAGAGAGAGACAGAGAGCATTGCACACGCATATGCATGGGCAAGTGCGTATGTGCATTTTTACTGGTGTTAAGGCAAGCATTTTACGTGGAATAATTACTTCTATTTGTTTACAACGTTAAAAGAAGTCCAATTTGTTATGTGAAGCTTTGATATATTGAGGCAAACAATATCAAGTCTTAGGGATGAAAAGATTGTTGTTTTGGTTCTAATATTTTACCCTATGATCTTTGACAGCTTAAAAATTTTTGGGCCAATCGCTATCGTGGCACTCTTGGTGCTTATCCCAGTTAATGTATCAGATGGTACATTGCTTTTTCTGAGAAGAGATTTGGTTTTCAGCGACATCGATAAGCTTTCAATATCAAATGTTCGNATATAAACTGGATAAAGTAGCCTCCCTCATAAGAAAGCGATTTTGGCATTGTTTTCTTTGAGAACTCCCTGATATTTTTACTACCAATTTGTTAATCTACCTTTGAAATATGATAGTAGTGGGAGTATTATATTACTGTCCTTGGATGGTTTGTGAACAAAAAANCGTCCTAAATCTATCAAGTAAGTTTTATGTCACTCTTTACCAGTATGATTTAAGTTTTAGGTCTGTCAATATCTGATTGACTTGAATATTACATCCATTGCTCTGATGTCTCAAATTAAGTGGAGAACTGGAGATTTTCGAGATAAGGAAGGGTTCGCCTAGCACCTCATGTTTAGATGTAAATTGTGAAGTTTTTATTGGAATTTTGAAGGATTTTTTTACTGAGTGAAACTTTGAGATCATTCAATAAGTAAGGCATCATTTGGATGGGTTTCCATTGCTTTTTTTTTTTTTAAAGTTAGCTCAACTTAGCGAAGTCTTCACCCAATTTTTGTGGTCAAAAGTAATTAATAAAATTAGTGTCATTTTTACTATTTAGGTTTGCATGAAAACCACACAATGTTTGTATGTCATATTAACTCCTCATTTAAAAAAACAGAAAAAATGAAAACTTGGTTGCTAACCGAATTCCTCAAAAGAAAATTCTGTGTACGTATTACTCCGTATGTCATCAAATCATTGAGGTCATTACAGATTTATTGATATTGTTATAATCATAGAATCATTGCATTTAACATAATAAGAGGAGAAACACGCAGAGAAAATATGACTATCAATAAACGATGAACTTAACCAAAACAAAGAATGGCATACAAAAGCATGACAAAGGGTATAGAGGCCATATCCAGCTTTAACAGAAGAGCTCCCATGGTTGAATTTCAGGTTTTTTGTCCACATATCAATGGAGTACTTGTTCACATTTTGGACCTGTTACATGCTCTACAAGGANAATCCTACGAGGGACCCTTAGTATATTCTTATCATCGCATCATTTTCGTCTCCTTTTATGCATTCATTCTTTCTTTTTTTTTTCCCCTCACAAGCCAACTCTTTTTTGCATCCATTTCTCACTTCTATAATTGCGCCGAAGGAGATCCCTCAAAGGAAGCTATGTTCAGAGGATGTTGCTCTTAATTTGGTGTGTCTTCAATCTCTNGCAGAGCAATTTACCGTGAGTCGATTTTCAATTGTTTTATAACCATTCCAACTAGCTGTTAATTATTAAGAACAAGATCTAATTTTTCTTCATTCTGCCATTCATAGTGCGTTGTTAAGGCTTTTTTGTTCCACAAAGGTTAATTATAATTTCTTCGCTTTGTCAGAACCTTGAATTTTACATTTTTTCTTCCTGAGCAGTAGGATGTTACTTCTCTTTCTTTCGTTTTTCCACTTCCCTTTTCAGTCAAAATTATTTAATTGTAGAAAAGGCATAAAGAAAAGGTATGCAAAAAGTACATGAGATTACCGAAGTCGCAATAGGGAAGAAGAGCCACCTCACTCTGCAGATAGTCTGTACCCACACGGAAAACTTAGGACTTCCCAAAGTTGGTGCATAAGGTGGAGGGGCCTCTTGATCCATTTTTGGGTCAAGTTAGATCATATTATTAAAGTGAAACCTTAGTTGGTTAGTGGGCCTAGTTTTACACCCATTAGGATTTCTCGGTATGTTCATTTCTTATGGTTCTGTTTGTTAATCCACCTAATAACTCAGGTCACACAGGAGAACGTTGTGAAGAGAGCTTGGATCTCATATCATAAGATTTGATTGGATTATATGGTTTTTGGCTTATTTATGTGTGCCAGTTGAGATGTCAAAAGGCCATAATATTGAAGTTTTTGGATGTCAAGAAGAACAAGATGCCGTAACCATATATATAAACTGGATAAAGTAGCCTCCCTCATAAGAAAGCGATTTTGGCATTGTTTTCTTTGAGAACTCCCTGATATTTTTACTACCAATTTGTTAATCTACCTTTGAAATATGATAGTAGTGGGAGTATTATATTACTGTCCTTGGATGGTTTGTGAACAAAAAACCAAATGCAGTCAGAACACGTTATACCCTGGGTTGTGTTTGTTGAAATTCATCAAGTATACTACTCATTGATATACAATGCGTGACTAGCTGGGGATGTTGAAAATGCAAATACCAAAGAAATTTGGGATAAAGGATCTGGACACAAGATTATCTGTTGGAGTTGAGGTTGGAATGTCTGGTTATGGTATCTTTGTTTGCTGGATAAAATATAGGTTATATCTGTTGAAGAAGACATGTGTGCGATACTTGCTGTTGCCAAATTCATTGCTGTTGTGTTCTTGGGTTTGTCTTCAAGAGTAGATGTGAGGATACCAATACCATAGAGTAATAGGAAAAATTAGTTGTGTTAGTCTCACACCTGTCCTGATATAACCCATGGTTCACTGAGATAGATGGTGCATGCATCCAGGAAGATACAGTATGAAGGAGCCTACAAGATACTCAGAAACTTATATTATTTCTAGGAAAAGGCTTTTTGTCGTTTGAGAAAACTGGAGTTCATCTTGCAGATTGTTTAACACAGGAAGTTTTTGGTCCAACTTTGACACTAGTTTAGGCACACTGGGTATATATGACGTGTACATCGGCTCAATGGGATGTCAGGAATAAGGAATTCTGTAATGCTTATGATATTGTGGGAAATATGTGTAATGGTTTTGGCTATAATAAGATCTTACTGTTCACTCGTTTTAAGTATAACAATCCTACGAGGGACCCTTAGTATATTCTTATCATCGCATCATTTTCGTCTCCTTTTATGCATTCATTCTTTCTTTTTTTTTTCCCCTCACAAGCCAATTTTTTTTTGCATCCATTTCTCACTTCTATAATTGCGCCGAAGGAGATCCCTCAAAGGAAGCTATGTTCAGAGGATGTTGCTCTTAATTTGGTGTGTCTTCAATCTCTAACAAAAGACTAGTTTCCCACCTTTGTGATCCAAAGTCTCATAGGAATGGCTGGAAAAAAAATGAGTACATGTGGACATTGTTTATCATTTATTCAATGAAGACTCTATTGTGGAATACTCTTCTTTTTACTAAATTAAATGTTCTATATATTTGTTGGAGTTTGACAAGTTTTCCCAGTTCTTGTGTAGCATAAGTTTTTCATGCATGTTTATTCAGGTACTAGTCAGGAACGTGCCACATGTTTCTGGGCGCTCAATATCAGATAGTCTTGAACACTTCTTTCAAACAAACCACCCAGATCACTACCTTTGTCACCAGGTAATATGGATCTTCTATTGAATTTTCTTTCCTGAGATTAGTTTCTTGTCTTTCAGTTTTCCTTTAATTGGCAGCGGTAAGTATCTGACCATAATCCCTCTCTCCCTGAAATATCCCATGACTGCAGTTACCTGTGTGATTCAATGGATTCAATTTTTAAATTTAGAGTTTGTGCAGACTCTCACACTAAATTAGATTACTTCCTTATAACNTCTTCTATTGAATTTTCTTTCCTGAGATTAGTTTCTTGTCTTTCAGTTTTCCTTTAATTGGCAGCAGTAAGTATCTGCCATAATCCCTCTCTCCCTGAAATATCCCATGACTGCAGTTACCTGTGTGATTCAATGGATTCAATTTTTAAATTTAGAGTTTGGGCAGACTCTCACACTAAATTAGATTACTTCCTTATAACACTTTGAACAAGTTGTACATGATGTTTATATCCGTTGTCCTTTCTGGGGTTTTACTATGCTTTTATTATGTAGTTATGTTATCTTTCTGTCTTTATTCAGGCTGTCTACAATGCAAACAAGTTTGCAAAACTCGTTAGAAAAAGAAATAGGCTCCAAAATTGGCTGGACTACAACCAACTTAAGTTAGAAAGACATCCAGACAAAAGGCCCACCAAAAAGGTAACTTCTTTTATGCACTGAAATTATACAAACAAGATATATCGATGACACCCACTCATGGACCTTTTCATAAACCGCTTAAGATGCAACAGAAGATTCCTTTTTAATCCTTTGTAATTGTCTCCATGTTCAGAAAGGCTTCCTTGGGCTTTGGGGTGAAAGAGTTGATTCTATCGACTTCTATAAACAACAGATTAAAGAATTTGATAAAAGGGTGAGTTGTGGCTGCTACTTAATCTTAATTATGTTTGATACTCATTAATTATTTTTTGTTCTGTAGTTATCCATTTTCCTGTGGCTGCTAATCTCTTCGGGTTGAGTTTTTTTCTTTCCTTCAAAGCATCCAACTTATCCTTTCACTAATATGATACTCAAAATTTCTTGTGAGTTTATGTAACTAATTAGTCTTTGTCCTTGCATTGTTCCTTAGTTGACGATGGAACGCCAGGGAATTCTCCAAGACCCAAAATCTATAATTTCAGCTGCCTTTGTATCATTTAATTCTCGATGGGGGNAACGCCAGGGAATTCTCAAAGACCCAAAATCTATAATTTCAGCTGCCTTTGTATCATTTAATTCTCGATGGGGGGCTGCTGTTTGTGCACAGACACAACAAAGCCAGAATCCGACTCTCTGGCTAACAAATTGGGCCCCCGAACCCCGGGATGTATACTGGAAGAACCTGTCTATACCGTTTGTTTCTCTTAGCATTCGGAAGCTTGTGATTTCACTATTGGTGTTTGCATTGGTGTTTTTTTACATGATACCCATTGCTTTTGTGCAATCCCTTGCAAATCTGGACGGTCTTGAAAAGGTTGCACCTTTTCTCAGGCCAGTGATTGAATTGTAAGTAGACTTTCATTCATTCCCAGTCAAATTGGTATTATGACTCAATTTGATTTACTACTTAACGCAAAATACATCATTAGTTGAATTTCATGTATATTTATGTTATCTGATAATGTATCACATTGTGATTTGATTTGTGCCTTTGGGACACTACATCACTCATGAGATTGTTGCCTCCACTTATTTCTTGTGGTCAATCACCGTTGAGATGATCACAATCACAACCACGTTTCTGATGAGAATGACTTACAACTCTGATCTAGCTGCTAAGTGAAGTTGAAGAGGTTAATATCAATAAAACAATTATAATTAAGAACTAGGCAGTGGAAACTTCTATTAGGCAGTGACTTGTGAAAGTGGGGTATCCTTTAGATTAATACATCACCTGTACACGAGACAGCTGTGTCTTAACCGTAAAATACTCGGACAAGTCGTGTGAAACAACCAATTTCTCAATATAAAAGGCTCAATGAGCATGAGCCTCAAGTTTCAGAAAGCGAATCGACATACTCAATATAGGAATATGTTCAAACCCTTGTAAAGCAGCAGAATTCCTAAAGCACAACCCAATGTCCTTCAACTCTTTTATTTCATTAGACCAGACTGGTATTGCAGTTTTCAGCTTCAGTCCATCTATGATTTCAATTCCTCAACTGCTGAACCCCGATCAGCGAGTACTTTTTCTTTTCTTTTCTTTTCTTTTCTTTTCTTTTGAACCACTTGAAATAAAAAGAATGTGTAGGAAGAGAGCTGAGAGGAGGCATCAGCTGTAATGTGTCTGTGCTGTGGCCAGTCGATAATCGTTTCACTACCTCCTTTTGGTTGTTGGTCTTGGGCAGGAAATTGATTCTTGAGAAAACTGAGTCAAGTAAAAGAGGATTGTAACATTGCTTTCCCAACATGTCTTTCTTTCAAAAGAACGTTTGTAAGAAAGCAAGATTTTATTAGCATGTAACTTCTTCTTCTCCNTCATTCCCAGTCAAATTGGTATTATGACTCAATTTGATTTACTACTTAACGCAAAATACATCATTAGTTGAATTTCATGTATATTTATGTTATCTGATAATGTATCACATTGTGATTTGATTTGTGCCTTTGGGACACTACATCACTCATGAGATTGTTGCCTCCACTTATTTCTTGTGGTCAATCACCGTTGAGATGATCACAATCACAACCACGTTTCTGATGAGAATGACTTACAACTCTGATCTAGCTGCTAAGTGAAGTTGAAGAGGTTAATATCAATAAAACAATTATAATTAAGAACTAGGCAGTGGAAACTTCTATTAGGCAGTGACTTGTGAAAGTGGGGTGTCCTTTAGATTAATACATCACCTGTACACGAGACAGCTGTGTCTTAACCGTAAAATACTCGGACAAGTGGTGTGAAACAACCAATTTCTCAATATAAAAGGCTCAATGAGCATGAGCCTCAAGTTTCAGAAAGCGAATCGACATACTCAATATAGGAATATGTTCAAACCCTTGTAAAGCAGCAGAATTCCTAAAGCACAACCCAATGTCCTTCAACTCTTTTATTTCATTAGACCAGACTGGTATTGCAGTTTTCAGCTTCAGTCCATCTATGATTTCAATTCCTCAACTGCTGAACCCCGATCAGCGAGTACTTTTTCTTTTCTTTTTTTTTTCTTTTGAACCACTTGAAATAAAAAGAATGTGTAGGAAGAGAGCTGAGAGGAGGCATCAGCTGTAATGTGTCTGCGCTGTGGCCAGTCGATAATCGTTTCACTACCTCCTTTTGGTTGTTGGTCTTGGGCAGGAAATTGATTCTTGAGAAAACTGAGTCAAGTAAAAGAGGATTGTAACATTGCTTTCCCAACATGTCTTTCTTTCAAAAGAACGTTTGTAAGAAAGCAAGATTTTATTAGCATGTAACTTCTTCTTCTCCTTGTTCTTCACAAATTTATTATGAAAAGTGAACGTGCATTGCTGTTTTTTTAATTAACATTTCTCCTATGCAATCTATGTCTATTACTGTTGATGCATATGTTCATATNGGACACTACATCACTCATGAGATTGTTGCCTCCACTTATTTCTTGTGGTCAATCACCGTTGAGATGATCACAATCACAACCACGTTTCTGATGAGAATGACTTACAACTCTGATCTAGCTGCTAAGTGAAGTTGAAGAGGTTAATATCAATAAAACAATTATAATTAAGAACTAGGCAGTGGAAACTTCTATTAGGCAGTGACTTGTGAAAGTGGGGTATCCTTTAGATTAATACATCACCTGTACACGAGACAGCTGTGTCTTAACCGTAAAATACTCGGACAAGTCGTGTGAAACAACCAATTTCTCAATATAAAAGGCTCAATGAGCATGAGCCTCAAGTTTCAGAAAGCGAATCGACATACTCAATATAGGAATATGTTCAAACCCTTGTAAAGCAGCAGAATTCCTAAAGCACAACCCAATGTCCTTCAACTCTTTTATTTCATTAGACCAGACTGGTATTGCAGTTTTCAGCTTCAGTCCATCTATGATTTCAATTCCTCAACTGCTGAACCCCGATCAGCGAGTACTTTTTCTTTTCTTTTCTTTTCTTTTCTTTTCTTTTGAACCACTTGAAATAAAAAGAATGTGTAGGAAGAGAGCTGAGAGGAGGCATCAGCTGTAATGTGTCTGTGCTGTGGCCAGTCGATAATCGTTTCACTACCTCCTTTTGGTTGTTGGTCTTGGGCAGGAAATTGATTCTTGAGAAAACTGAGTCAAGTAAAAGAGGATTGTAACATTGCTTTCCCAACATGTCTTTCTTTCAAAAGAACGTTTGTAAGAAAGCAAGATTTTATTAGCATGTAACTTCTTCTTCTCCTTGTTCTTCACAAATTTATTATGAAAAGTGAACGTGCATTGCTGTTTTTTTTATTAACATTTCTCCTATGCAATCTATGTCTATTACTGTTGATGCATATGTTCATATATTGTGTTCACCTGACATCCTTATGGTTTTGTGTTAAAAAATGATTCTTCCAGTTTTAAAGGTACAGTTGATTTATAAATTAACTATTGAAGCGTCTCTACCAGATTCCTGTTTTTAGGACATGTGTAATCTTGTGTTCTCTGCATTTCTTGATTGCTAGAATCTCTTGATTCTCAAATACAATACCTNTATCCTTTAGATTAATACATCACCTGTACACGAGACAGCTGTGTCTTAACCGTAAAATACTCGGACAAGTCGTGTGAAACAACCAATTTCTCAATATAAAAGGCTCAATGAGCATGAGCCTCAAGTTTCAGAAAGCGAATCGACATACTCAATATAGGAATATGTTCAAACCCTTGTAAAGCAGCAGAATTCCTAAAGCACAACCCAATGTCCTTCAACTCTTTTATTTCATTAGACCAGACTGGTATTGCAGTTTTCAGCTTCAGTCCATCTATGATTTCAATTCCTCAACTGCTGAACCCCGATCAGCGAGTACTTTTTCTTTTCTTTTCTTTTCTTTTCTTTTCTTTTGAACCACTTGAAATAAAAAGAATGTGTAGGAAGAGAGCTGAGAGGAGGCATCAGCTGTAATGTGTCTGTGCTGTGGCCAGTCGATAATCGTTTCACTACCTCCTTTTGGTTGTTGGTCTTGGGCAGGAAATTGATTCTTGAGAAAACTGAGTCAAGTAAAAGAGGATTGTAACATTGCTTTCCCAACATGTCTTTCTTTCAAAAGAACGTTTGTAAGAAAGCAAGATTTTATTAGCATGTAACTTCTTCTTCTCCTTGTTCTTCACAAATTTATTATGAAAAGTGAACGTGCATTGCTGTTTTTTTTATTAACATTTCTCCTATGCAATCTATGTCTATTACTGTTGATGCATATGTTCATATATTGTGTTCACCTGACATCCTTATGGTTTTGTGTTAAAAAATGATTCTTCCAGTTTTAAAGGTACAGTTGATTTATAAATTAACTATTGAAGCGTCTCTACCAGATTCCTGTTTTTAGGACATGTGTAATCTTGTGTTCTCTGCATTTCTTGATTGCTAGAATCTCTTGATTCTCAAATACAATACCTGCACACTCTATTCATTACTTCCTGAGATCATTACGTTTGTGTTAAAAATGCTGCTTCTATATTTGGAGTGTATTGTTGTTTTTCGGCTAAGAATTCAAGTCTGTCTCTCTACCATGTTGGAAAGGATTCAGCAATAAGCCTACAAACTTCACAACACACCAACAAGCTCCTGTTTGAATTAAAAGCTATATCTTGCCCTCTCTACATCTCTCCTGACTGTTATAGTTGCTTGATTTGCAAATACATTGCATGTATAGGCCGTTTGTTACTTTCTAAACCTATGGCCATCTTTAAAAAGAATTCTGGCAATGTGATGCAGGAAATTCATCAAGTCATTCCTACAGGGTTTCCTTCCTGGTCTAGCTCTCAAAATTTTCTTATACATTCTTCCTACGGTTTTGTTGATTTTGTCGAAGGTTGAGGGTTATGTAGCATTATCAGTACTAGAGCGGAGGGCAGCAGCAAAATACTACTACTTTATGCTGGTGAATGTGTTCTTGGGGAGCATAGTGGCTGGAACAGCTTTTGAGCAACTTCATGCTTTCCTTCACCAATCCGCTGCCCAGTAACGTTTGATATTTTTGAATGTTGATATTCATGTTAAAACCATTGTACTGTCTGGTTTTATTGTTTTTTATGGGTAAATGATGGATTGACATAGACTTGATTGTTTACTTGGTTGTTGTGATAAGCGGAAAGCATATTTGATAGTGACACTAAAATACATGGTTTTCTTATGCAGGAATGGCTGTGTCGGCTAATGCACTATTGCTTATATGTTGTGTGGTTTTAATTAAAATGGGCATATGTTTAGGGGTGCAACTTGGGCAGGCCAATCCGAATTCAACCCAAGCCTAACTCGAAAAAAAACCGAATTTAATACTTGGGTTGGGCTTGGGCAAAAAAACCTTAACCCGAATTGAAATTTAGGCAAGCCTCGGGTTGAGGTATCGGGTTGTCGGATTCGACCTGAATATTAAAATCAAGTTGAACCCAATTATTAAGTCGGGTTGAACTCAAATATACATAAATATATTTAATTAGGGTTAGTATTTATCTTCCCTCTTTAGAGTTTAGACTTTCAATTCACTTCAACTCTTCACCCCTGCGCCTTCATCACTCTCAGATCCCTCTCTCACTCATCATTCTTCCCTCTCTCAATCGTCACTCGTAGTCGTTTCAAACTCTCAGCCTCCCTCCCTCACTCATCACTCCTCCCTTTCTCACTCGTCACTCCTCCCTCTCTCTTTATCTATGTCTCGCCTTTCATCTCAGATCACTTNATTGCATGTATAGGCCGTTTGTTACTTTCTAAACCTATGGCCATCTTTAAAAAGAATTCTGGCAATGTGATGCAGGAAATTCATCAAGTCATTCCTACAGGGTTTCCTTCCTGGTCTGGCTCTCAAAATTTTCTTATACATTCTTCCTACAGTTTTGTTGATTTTGTCGAAGGTTGAGGGTTATGTAGCATTATCAGTACTAGAGCGGAGGGCAGCAGCAAAATACTACTACTTTATGCTGNTTTTTTTCTTTTGAACCACTTGAAATAAAAAGAATGTGTAGGAAGAGAGCTGAGAGGAGGCATCAGCTGTAATGTGTCTGCGCTGTGGCCAGTCGATAATCGTTTCACTACCTCCTTTTGGTTGTTGATCTTGGGAAGGAAATTGATTCTCAAGAGAACTGAGTCAAGTAAAAGAGAATTATAACATTGCTTTCCCAACATGTCTNTTTTCCCTCTTTAGAGTCTAGACTTTCAATTCACTTCAACTCTTCACCCCTACGCCTTCATCACTCTCAGATCCCTCTCTCACTCGTCATTATTCCCTCTCTTAGCCTCCCTCTCTCAATCGTCACTCGTAGTCGTTTCAAACTCTCAGCCTCTCTCCCTCACTCATCACTCCTCCCTTTCTCACTCGTCACTCCTCCCTCTCTCTTTATCTATGCCTCGCCTTTCATCTCAGATCACTTGAAAAAAATCAAATTTACACTTGAAAAATTAAATCTACTTTTCAAAAAATCAACCAGAATCAAGTAACTCAATCCAACCCGATTTTTAACCCGAAATCAACCCATATTAAGTAACTCAAATTCAACCTGAGCCCACTCGAATTAAACTCGGGCAGTACTCGGGTTGAGTACCTCGGGATGAAGTAGGGTTAAGGTTAGGGTTAGGGTTGAAAATTATATATTTTAGGTTGGGCTAGGGTTAGGTTGGGCTAGGGTTGACCTCTCAGCCCGCCCAACCCGCCCGAGTTACACTCCTACATATGCTAGTGTTGGTTTATTACTTCACTATTGTCTAGTGTAGCTGCACCTAGTACTGTACTGGTGGATAATGTTGGTATTTATTGATGGGTGTGGGCTGTATTTTATTGTCTTAAGATGTGAAACAAGATAGGCTCTCTGCTCCTATTTTGAATTTGAATTCTCTCCATCTCCTTTGGACAAGGGCATTATATTAGGCATTAATGAACCACGTATTCTTGTTTTGCTTGTGTTATATCTTCAACTTTGTAAATGCTTTCATAAGTAATATCCATGGTTTCAATCTTGTATTCTTGCCTTTTTTTCCTGTTAAAGTTTTATACCAGGCTTAAGAGGGTTAGCTTGAACATTATAGAACTGGCATGGCTTTAAATAATGGTAATGGTCATTGCAATGGTAACGGTAATGGTGTAATGGACACAATGTCTAGGGGTGTTGTGTAGTAGAAATCCAAAGCATGAATCCTTTTTCCATTCACACTTCCCTCCAGAAATGAAATTTAGGCACTTTTTAACTCCATAGTAGAATTTACTAATTTACTGTGGATTTTATTAGAAAAATACCACAGGACTAGTAAAGTCTAAAGTAGATAGACCAAGAAAGAATTATCACATCTAATTGTTGCCACTTGCGAGTTGCTTACTTTTAGTTGTAAACATGAGTAACATTTAACAGTAGGCGACTTTTATAGTGTACACAACCCATACACGTATGAATCGCCCGTCACACAAGCAAAAAATCTAGTGAAGGCACCATGTCAATAAGTCACAAGCACTCTGTCTCCATACTCTCTTAACCGGTTGAAAGCCATCTCTGTCGTCCTTCATCTCCGATTCCAAAACTGCCTGCCTGTTCCTAATCAGGCAAGAGAAAGAGAAAGCCAGAAAGGTCATATTACTCTGTTATCCAAGATAAAAGGGATGGAGTCTGAGATTACCCTTTTGGAACGCGAAAAAATGTTATTTCTTGTTTTAACTTCTGTTAGTTTGTCTGTTCATTTTGTTAATTAATGAATAATCTGCGTAAACTTGTTTCTGTGCAGGATTCCAAGAACCATTGGGGTATCAATACCAATGAAGGCTACGTTCTTTATTACATATATAATGCTTGATGGATGGGCTGGCATTGCTAGCGAAATTCTTCGATTGAAGGCTCTGGTCATTTTTCACCTTAAGAATATGTTCCTTGTGAAAACCAAAAGGGACAGAGAAAAGGCAATGGATCCTGGAAGTGTGGACTTTCCAGAGACTCTCCCAAGTCTTCAACTGTACTTCCTTTTGGGCATTGTATATGCGGTGGTTACTCCGATTCTTCTTCCTTTTATACTAGTTTTCTTCGCCTTTGCATTCTTTGTCTACCGTCATCAGGTTCGTTTCTTCGTTGAATTGAACTTTTTCCCTCTTGTGATATAATTTAATATTGTCCGTGGACTTTGATGTTGTGAATCATGAATGCTCAAATGAGAGAAGCTGTAGTCATTAACAAAAATGCGGTTATATATTCGGGTTTAAGATGCTTATCTGGTTTCTGGTGTATGAACCAGAAATGTTTCGAAATTGGATTAGGATGGGAATACAGCAATCTATTGTGGACACAAGATTAGTCATCATTTGCAGTCACTATGTTTACACTAAATATGTCATCAAGTTGTGCCTGATAAATCATGGTACAGTATGTTTTATATTTATTCCTCAAGAATTTACATCCACTCAACAAATGGAAAGCAAGCTGTCGTATTGGACCAACTACATTTATAAGATCACTCTATACTTCGTTTTTTTTGATAAATAGGATCAAATATATGTATTATGTTTTATTGCAAGATAACCTTGACTAATTTTACATTGTGATTTTCTACTATGCTTGATCACACAGATAATTAATGTGTACAATCAGCAATATGAGAGCGCTGCTGCCTTCTGGCCACATGTTCATGGTCGCATAATAGCAAGCTTGTTGTTATCTCAACTTCTGTTGTTGGGTCTGCTGAGCACAAAAAAAGCTGCAAACTCTACTCCCCTGCTTGTTGCTTTACCTATTTTAACTCTATCCTTCCACAAGTACTGCAAGAACCGCTTTGAACCTGCATTCCGAAAGTACCCCCTTGAGGTAAGCTTCATTCATGTGACTTGCAAGATTGTGGAAATAGTTTAAACCTAGTTAGTCATGCTAATAGCTCATCTGTCTACATATACACTGTTAAAGTATCTAGAGNCTGCATTCCGAAAGTACCCCCTTGAGGTAAGCTTCATTCATGTTACTTGCAAGATTGTGGAAATAGTTTAAACCAAGTTAGTCATGCTAATAGCTCATCTGTCTACATATACACTGTTAAAGTATCTAGAGTCATCCTAACATCACACACAGGTCCTCACGATCACAAACGAACATTCCACTTCAGCATAGCTTAGTTACTACAAAAATGCAACGTCATATTGACCACACATGCCATACCACCCTTACTACATGGTTTTCATTTCATTGATGATCATGGTTGATAATGTTAAAAAGAGAGCCAGCTAGCCCTTATAATGGCAAACCCAAAACGAGATCAGAGTAGAAAATGACAAGCTGTTGAAGAAAGGCGAACTATAAACTTGGACATCCTAATTTGATTTTCCCTTATGGTTCTCAGGGTAATTGTGGGTATCTGGGTTTACTCTATAGGGGTGGGTCCAATGTGACCCCTACCTTGGAGAGGTTCTTCGTTACTGGGAAAAAAAAAATCTTTTGCTTATGTTCATGCGAATTTGTACCCATAATGTTGTAACATCACATCCTCTGGAATCAAGAAAGTTCTGTGATATATAGATGTTAATGCTAGTGTTACATTCTGGCGAACAGTTAAAAATAGTACATTCTGTGATATTTTTAAATCTACTAGCATGTGCGAAAGCGAACCATTTAAATCTACCTACATGGGTGGTTTTTGTTTTTATTTTTTTGGTGGGGGGGGGGGGGATGTGTTATTTTCTCTTTTCTCTTTTCTTCTGGGATGGGGGTGAACACATCAAAGGACTTTGTAGAATGGCCAAATTGCCTTAATGTGACTCAACTGATCCATTCAACTGCTATGGTAGATCTGTGAACTTTGTCTGTGTTATTTCTGTAGCAGAATGATTTCTTTTCTTTTTAAAAGATGCGTGTTTTTTATTTGAAGTGCTGATGAACTTCTTCTCCTTTTGTTCTCATCTTCAGGAAGCCATGGCTAAGGACACGCAGGACCGCGCTTCAGAACCTAGCATCAATTTAAAATCTTACTTGGCTGATGCATACTTGCACCCAATTTTCCACTCTTTTGAAGAAGTTGAATTGGTTGATGTCAAAGTTGATAAAAACCAAGCTCACATCCCGAGTCCTTCAGCAAGTGAATTCAGTTCTCCCTCCCCGGCCCATTATGCTGCTTATCATCTCGAAGACGAGCCACCCCATAATGTCCATCACTACGAGGTTGAACCACCCAATAACGTACATCACTACGAGGTTGAACCGCCCAATAATGTCCATCACTACGCGGTTGAACCGCCCCATAATGTCCATTACGAATTTGAACCATATGGGATTGTGGATCACTATGGACTTGAACAATCAAGCTATGTGTATCAGTATGACATTGAGTCGCCCAATCATTTCTATCGTTATTGAAATCGACCCTTGAATTATTTAGTACCGAGTTGCTTACGTTACATGAGGCCTTAACCAATGTTTTAGTTATTGGATAGCTTAGCATTGTCTAACCATGTCATGACCGTTTGAATTGTAATTATTGTTCATCAGTGTGAATGCAAATGGGTTATGAGGGTTTTTTTTTTTGGAAATTTACTGCTTACTACCCCTTTTTCTCCTATGCTATAAAGCTTCCTATCTCGATGTCTATACTGGAAGGACTTGATAATAAAAGTTCAGTGATCCTAATGTTTTTATGTATGAATCACAATATTGAAAGTCGAAGTTTGCTAGGTTTGGATATTCGTTGAACTCAAAATACTTATATGTCAATTGTTGTATTTTAAAAAAATATGTTAATTTAATCGGAAAGAGATTAAACAAATTTAAATGAACACTAATCCAACCAAATGCCCCAGTATGTTCAAATTATATGAACAACCCACATAAAAAGATTAAAAAAGAAATTTAAGCATTTAGGAGAGGATTTTTTCAATTGATAAATGGAAATTTATAACTATATTTTTTGAAAAAAAAAATAAAATATTTTTAGGGTAATGATACTTTATAAATAACTTAAAATTTCAAAGTCATTAGAAATTTTAAATATTTTTGAAAAAAAAATATAAGATTTGGGAGTAATTATACTTTCTAAATAACTCAAAATTGTGAATTCATTGTAAAAATTGTCTTTCTGACCCTTGGATTCCAATGTCAGGATAAAGTCCAACATTTGTGGGCCACATGTAGGCCTGTAATCTGAGCAAAACATGGCCCCACCCAACTCAAGACTTGGCGGGGCTCGGGCCCGTCCACTCATTGCCGAGTGTTACTCCTTTGAGCAACTCATGCAAAACCCAACAAGCAACAAGTACATATATCATGTAGAGAGAGAGAGAGAGAGAGAGAGACAGATAGATAGACTGACAGACAGATAGCCAGAGAGACACGGTTGTGGAGAGATAGACTCTCTAACTTTATCAGTTGCCTGTAAGCTCCTGTACCTTTAGCTCTAAAATGTAGTAATAACTTTTGAATGTTATAGTTTCATAGTCTTGATAACTTCATCCTTTTGCCTATTTACTTCTTTTAATGAAATGGTTACTCTATTTTCAGGTTAAATTTGTATATTTTTTTTGTGGGTTGATGTGTTTCTGCTTGAAAATCATGGTTGGGGTTAGTTGGTGAAGATNTGATAAATAGGATCAAATATATGTATTATGTTTTATTGCAAGATAACCTTGAGTAATTTTACATTGTGATTTTCTACTATGCTTGATCACACAGATAATTAATGTGTACNGCAAAACATGGCCCCACCCAACTCAAGACTTAACGGGGCTCGGGCCCGTCCACTCAATGCCGAGTGTTACTCCTTTGAGCAACTCATGCAAAACCCAACAAGCAACAAGTACANTGGAAAATTTACTGCTTACTACCCCTTTTTCTCCTATGCTATAAAGCTTCCTATCTCGATGTCTATACTGGAAGGACTTGATAATAAAAGTTCAGTGATCCTAATGTTTTTATGNGGCTTCCTATCTCAATGTCTATACTGGAAGGACTTGATAATAAAAGTTCAGTGATCCTAATGTTTTTATGTATGAATCACAATATTGAAAGTCGAAGTTTGCTAGGTTTGGATATTCGTTGAACTCAAAATACTTATATGTCAATTGTTGTATTTTAAAAAAATATGTTAATTTAATCGGAAAGAGATTAAACAAATTAAAATGAACACTAATCCAACCAAATGCCCCAGTATGTTCAAATTATATGAACAACCCACATAAAAAGATTAAAAAAGAAATTTAAGCATTTAGGAGAGGATTTTTTCAATTGATAAATGGAAATTTATAACTATATTTTTTGAAAAAAAAAATAAAATATTTTTAGGGTAATGATACTTTATAAATAACTTAAAATTTCAAAGTCATTAGAAATTTTAAATATTTTTGAAAAAAAAATATAAGATTTGGGAGTAATTATACTTTCTAAATAACTCAAAATTGTGAATTCATTGTAAAAATTGTCTTTCTGACCCTTGGATTCCAATGTCAGGATAAAGTCCAACATTTGTGGGCCACATGTAGGCCTGTAATCTGAGCAAAACATGGCCCCACCCAACTCAAGACTTAACGGGGCTCGGGCCCGTCCACTCAATGCCGAGTGTTACTCCTTTGAGCAACTCATGCAAAACCCAACAAGCAACAAGTACATATATCATGTAGAGAGAGAGAGAGAGAGACAGATAGATAGACTGACAGACAGATAGCCAGAGAGACACGGTTGTGGAGAGATAGACTCTCTAACTTTATCAGTTGCCTGTAAGCTCCTGTACCTTTAGCTCTGAAAATGTAGTAATAACTTTCGAATGTTATAGTTTCATAGTCTTGATAACTTCATCCTTTTGCCTATTTACTTCTTTTAATGAAATGGTTACTCTATTTTCAGGTTAAATTTGTATATTTTTTTTGTGGGTTGATGTGTTTCTGCTTGAAAATCATGGTTGGGGTTAGTTGGTGAAGATTGCAATCAATATATCAAATAATGAAATGCTTTGCCTTGCTTTTTTTCAGTCTTTGAGTAGGTTTCTGAATTTTTACCTTTCAGAAATTTTATGGGTTTTTGATTTTTTTTTCTTCGATAGATATTTTTTTCTGAGGCAGAGCAAAAAATAAATGAAAAATCATACAGAGTTATTTGAGGTTGTGACGTCTTGCATTTTGGTTGTGGTCAGATATTTGGTGTAATTTCTGATTTTTTTTTTTGTTTGCATCTGTTTATATGATATGCGTGCCTGTGTGGCTCCACAGATTTGCAGTGCAGGGACAATATATGTATATCTGTGTGTGTGTGTGCGCTTTTCGTAAGTAATTTTTGATTGGCTTTGCCTGCTCTTGCAGTTGAGCAGCAATGTAGGTTTTGATTTTAGGACAGTTTTGCCATGAGGGGTCATTTGTACTCTGTTATTTCTTTTGTCATTTCCCAATTTTTTGGACTAACTCCTCAATTCTAAATTATCCAAATTTTCTTGAATAATTGTGATGGTGTATGACTTTTCGTTTTTGGACTGTCTTAAAGTAGTTCGTGAATCCAGAAATAATTTTACATGCACTTATAAATTGAGTGGATTATGTACAATTGATGTGCTGTTGAATAATGCGATTAATGTAAAGGTGTACATTTAGTATTAAATTCGTAGACTTTGAAGTTTTGCTTTATTTCTTATGGTTGTGTTCTGCATGCTAGCATGGATTTTGGTGTACTTTTATTTAGCTTTATGTTATATAATAAATTAGACAAGTTCTACTGAGAAGAACTGAGTTTAATCTTCATGGTTCTGCTTGCTTCACACGATGAAACTACTAAATATAAGGATTGGGTTATTGTTTTATGCATCTACTCACGAAGATGCTAGAGGCAGATTGGCCCCCAGAATGGGAAATTCTCAGAATTTTTTGGGTGTAGGAGCATTGTGAGGAAACATCAAGTACCAATGGGGACTTATTCCAATAGACACCATTTGATGTCCGATGCTAACAACAGAGAGGCATTTGTTCCACATTATGCCTGGTTTCATTCAGGGAATTTTTTCCCTGCTANGAATGTTATAGTTTCATAGTCTTGATAACTTCATCCTTTTGCCTATTTACTTCTTTTAATGAAATGGTTACTCTATTTTCAGGTTAAATTTGTATATTTTTTTTGTGGGTTGATGTGTTTCTGCTTGAAAATCATGGTTGGGGTTAGTTGGTGAAGATTGCAATCAATATATCAAATAATGAAATGCTTTGCCTTGCTTTTTTTCAGTCTTTGAGTAGGTTTCTGAATTTTTACCTTTCAGAAATTTTATGGGTTTTTGATTTTTTTTTCTTCGATAGATATTTTTTTCTGAGGCAGAGCAAAAAATAAATGAAAAATCATACAGAGTTATTTGAGGTTGTGACGTCTTGCATTTTGGTTGTGGTCAGATATTTGGTGTAATTTCTGATTTTTTTTTTTGTTTGCATCTGTTTATATGATATGCGTGCCTGTGTGGCTCCACAGATTTGCAGTGCAGGGACAATATATGTATATCTGTGTGTGTGTGTGCGCTTTTCGTAAGTAATTTTTGATTGGCTTTGCCTGCTCTTGCAGTTGAGCAGCAATGTAGGTTTTGATTTTAGGACAGTTTTGCCATGAGGGGTCATTTGTACTCTGTTATTTCTTTTGTCATTTCCCAATTTTTTGGACTAACTCCTCAATTCTAAATTATCCAAATTTTCTTGAATAATTGTGATGGTGTATGACTTTTCGTTTTTGGACTGTCTTAAAGTAGTTCGTGAATCCAGAAATAATTTTACATGCACTTATATATTGAGTGGATTATGTACAATTGATGTGCTGTTGAATAATGCGATTAATGTAAAGGTGTACATTTAGTATTAAATTCGTAGACTTTGAAGTTTTGCTTTATTTCTTATGGTTGTGTTCTGCATGCTAGCATGGATTTTGGTGTACTTTTATTTAGCTTTATGTTATATAATAAATTAGACAAGTTCTACTGAGAAGAACTGAGTTTAATCTTCATGGTTCTGCTTGCTTCACACGATGAAACTACTAAATATAAGGATTGGGTTATTGTTTTATGCATCTACTCACGAAGATGCTAGAGGCAGATTGGCCCCCAGAATGGGAAATTCTCAGAATTTTTTGGGTGTAGGAGCATTGTGAGGAAACATCAAGTACCAATGGGGACTTATTCCAATAGACACCATTTGATGTCCGATGCTAACAACAGAGAGGCATTTGTTCCACATTATGCCTGGTTTCATTCAGGGAATTTTTTCCCTGCTATGAAAATTGTCAAAAACCCCTTTCAAGCAACTCAGACGAACCACAGACCTGATCTTGATGCAGTTCCCATCCGTTCTGTTGCTTCCTCGAATGGACCAGCAACGAATGGTGAGTTTGAGACTATTTCCACCAAAAGCAATAAAAAGAAGCCTTCTACAGGGTATTCGAATCATAATGCATCGAAGGATTTGGGGCCGAAGCAACCCAAAAAGAAGCATTCTGCTACTAAGAAGGCTAAGGGACAAACTAAGCCAGGAGCAAGGGTAGAGAGGAAGAATCCGAATATAGTTGTGGACAATTTCAGCTTGGATGTTTCAGGGGTACCTCCTCCATTTTGTTCTTGCACTGGTGTCACTAGAGGGTGTTATAAATGGGGTGCTGGTGGATGGCAATCCTCATGTTGCAACTCTAGCATATCTGAGTATCCCCTACCTATGAGTTCCTCGAGGCCTGGGGCTCGCTTGGCTGGGAGGAAAATGAGCAATGGAGCATACGAGAAACTTATATACAGGCTTGCTGCTGAGGGTCATGATCTTTCTCAACCTGTTGACTTGAAGGACCATTGGGCTAAACATGGTACTAACAAGTTTGTTACAATCAAGTGAACATGTGAAAAGTAGTGGTCAGTTGGCAGCTTGTCTGTATAGTTGCATTTTTTCCCTTTCTTGATTAAGTCTCCACTGTACGTATCCTAGCGACACTTTCCAAAAAAAATAGTAGTTTGTGGATGTTGCTTTACTCTAATGAGAGTATGTTCTGGTATTATAATGTTTCTGATTTTTTGTTTTTTGAAGCTTGTGATCTGTTATTTTTCACCTTTTTTTTGGTTGATAATTTGTTATTTGGTGTTAAACAATGACATGATCGTTGACATGTGGAACTTTGCATATGGATGGGATAAAACACATACCCTTCAAGGAGTATGGAAATAGTTAGTTGGATAGCTAGGAAATGCTAAATAAAAGATAGAATAAACCTTTATTTCTGTCTCTGGGTGCGCTTCTCTTCTTTGAAATGATGAAGTTTACTGGCCAGTTTTTGTTGAGATTAGATTGTATTGTTGCATCTGTTGGTCACCTTTTCTTTCATTGTGGATCTAATTGAGAATACCCAACTTCCATATATGTTATTTGTACTCTATAAGTCCAATTTTTTTCAGTGGATAAGAGGTAGTTCATCTTAGAGTTTCCATGGCAACGATGACTTTTTTTGCGTATTTGTTGACAGTTTCACATATGCAACTGAACATTTTGCTTGGTAGACAATCCACGATTCCATTCTCCTCACCTGCAGCAATCTTTACCCATTCATCGTTATGGATCAAACTATCGAAACATATAGCCAGCCCTTTTGCTAGATCATTTGGTTAGTGTTCAAAAGTAAATACAGTGTTTTGGCAATCTACCTTCGTTCAAAACAAATTGATTCCGCTCTTTCTTTGTTTTTTTTCCAGCTATGTGGTAGCAAAAAGGCAGAAGAAAATAAGAGTCTGCCAAATGGGTATTGTTATTCATAATTTCTCTTTCAGTTTTTGCTTTGCTATATTACAAAACTCCACAGAATTACTTCTGAATTCAATACACTTGGGATTGTTTCTTATTCTTATGAAGAATAGCCTACAGAAACAATAGGGAAAGGAGAAGGGATGATAATACATTAGGCACTTGTTTTTTTGGCTTTTGTGGCTTGTATTGGAGCTGTAGCCTTGCCGGCAATGATTTGCTCGAAGAGGTCTCTTATCTTCAATCCAACGATGGTTTGGAAGAGACCTGTGCCATTGTTGCTACCTGGGAAGTCGGAGTGTTTTAGCATTTGCTGGGTGACTGCGCCATAGAACTTAGTGGAGATGTTGCTCAGATGGCTTTCAACGTAAATGAGCTCATCTAATCTGTCAAATTGACCGTCCATCTCCAACACAGACACCTGAGAGAAACAGAAGGGAACAAAGTAGATTATAGTGGCTGATACCCATCATTGTTAGGGGGTGCAAATGAACTCAATCAAGTCAAGTTTACGATTGTTCGAGCTCGGCTTGTTTAGCAGTTAGAGATCGTGACAAGCTTCAACAGTAATTTTTCTCCAAATTCGAGCTTGGCTTATTTTATTAATCAAATCTAGTGAAGCTTGTAATTGAACTTATACTCGAGTTAAGTTCAACTTGCTTATACACAGCGTGCGCACACATAACCACGTGATTCCAGAAGGCCAGAACAGATCATTGCTTGGACTTGGTTTGCTTTAGAAAGTAAGTTTTAAAATTGATCTCAAACTGGTCACAAACTACTAGGTTCAATTGCTGTCTTATCTGTGAACCTCCTCTCTCTCTCCACGATCATGAAGCCTAGACATAGTGGGTAATATCAATGGAAGTGTAGGAAGTTTTTGCATACCTCATGGCCAAAGTAAGTCTCAGGACCATAGAAAAATTTGATGCCAGGATAAGAGCAGGTGAGTTTCCTCCCACAAGGTATCCATGAGATGGTAGAGCCTTCATCAAACAGGTACACTGGACTGAAATATTTCACCCCTTCTTTCATTATCAACCTCACTCTCAGAACCTTCCCTTCGTTATCACCTGGAATGAGTTGGGTTGGCAACACCTCAATAACTGCATCTGCATATTGCTTCTGTGGATCTGCACCATGAAGAACATATGAAAAGTTAGTCTGCATATATAGAGAACCAGGGATGGGTTGAGAAATTTAATCTCAGAAGGAAGTGGGATGTGACCCATTAGTGCACTATACAAACACGACAAGAAATTAACGGATTTGGGTTTAAGAGATTTTGACATGATCATCATGAGTGATGTTCGGGTTGACACATTTGGCAAATGAGTCATGTTTGGGTTTTTAGAATGTCAATCCAATTTTGACCCACAAATCCGTTTAACTTGACATATCAACCTGTTTAATTTAAGAGCAATGTTATTGGGACCTAATTTACTGACCTAATTCACTATGACCTAATTTAATTGGTGATGGACCTATGGTGTGTTCATAAGTTGATGAGTTGAACAGTGACCCAAACACAACTCGTATATTAAACATGATACACGGATAATATTTGACACAAAGCCCGTATTACACAACCCGACTATGCAAATTGTGATTGTTACTGGTGGGTTAAGGTATAGACTAAGCAGATTACCAATGTAAGCATCAAAATCTGGCTTTCGAGCTTCAATACTAGCTTTGATGCTTTCAAGGCTGTGTCCTCGCTCCGCCATGTCCCTCTGCATTTTCCCGTGGTATCATAAAATCAAAAGAAGTTGAGTATATTATAACAATCAATAAACAGAGAATTTTTAAGCATGATTAGTGAACCAATTACCTGAATTTTCCAGGCGAATTTAACCTCATTGCTGATGTCCAGATAGATACTAAAGTCCAAGAGGTCCCTCACGCGTTGATCATACCTAAGTATATTACCAAAAACATCAGTAATTAGATGGGTTTAGGACATAAATTGTGGATACGAAAATATTATTTTGATCTAGTTTGCTTATTTTATTTACTAACATAATGTGTTATAGTCATTGAATTAGTAAAGGGTCCCGACTAATACTGGGACCCACTGTCTAATGACAGTAATTCACTAAGCAAATTCTTTGTGATATGCCTTTGTTTATTAGGCCACTTCTCAAATTACTGGAACAGAGAGCGACCAATGCAGTGATTTGTCTCCAACAATGTCCTATTGATTCCTTGGCCAGCTGCTACCCAACCAATATGGTAAATTGGAATGGTACGACCCACGAATTCGATACTGACACAAAATTAACGAGTACGAATTTAGTTTTAGTGGGTTTGAAAGTTTAGAAGAAAGATCAAACTTGGACCATTATAGGATGCAATGCCCTACAAGAAAATGTAACCAGAACAATCATGGTTCCTCAACCACACATCTAATGTACGAAGGTTTGCTTAATATCTTTCTGTCCTTAACCAAATAGCCACACACATAGCAACCTTTTCATTAGAAAATTTGCACCAATGGGAATAAACTATTAATACACCATTATCATATAATTAAGTCAGCAAAAAAAATCAATATACATAATCAAATCCCACTTAAAAATAAATAAAAACTCCACTTAAAAAGATAAAAATAAGAGGCATAGAATGCCAATGTATCATGAGAGAGAGAGAGAGAGAGAGAGAGAGAGAGAGNATTGGTGATGGACCTATGGTGTGTTCATAAGTTGATGAGTTGAACAGTGACCCAAACACAACTCGTATATTAAACATGATACACGGATAATATTTGACACAAAGCCCGTATTACACAACCCGACTATGCAAATTGTGATTGTTACTGGTGGGTTAAGGTATAGACTAAGCAGATTACCAATGTAGGCATCAAAATCTGGCTTTCGAGCTTCAATACTAGCTTTGATGCTTTCAAGGCTGTGTCCTCGCTCCGCCATGTCCCTCTGCATTTTCCCGTGGTATCATAAAATCAAAAGAAGTTGAGTATATTATAACAATCAATAAACAGAGAATTTTTAAGCATGATTAGTGAACCAATTACCTGAATTTTCCAGGCGAATTTAACCTCATTGCTGATGTCCAGATAGATACTAAAGTCCAAGAGGTCCCTCACGCGTTGATCATACCTAAGTATATTACCAAAAACATCAGTAATTAGATGGGTTTAGGACATAAATTGTGGATACGAAAATATTATTTTGATCTAGTTTGCTTATTTTATTTACTAACATAATGTGTTATAGTCATTGAATTAGTAAAGGGTCCCGACTAATACTGGGACCCACTGTCTAATGACAGTAATTCACTAAGCAAATTCTTTGTGATATGCCTTTGTTTATTAGGCCACTTCTCAAATTACTGGAACAGAGAGCGACCAATGCAGTGATTTGTCTCCAACAATGTCCTATTGATTCCTTGGCCAGCTGCTACCCAACCAATATGGTAAATTGGAATGGTACGACCCACGAATTCGATACTGACACAAAATTAACGAGTACGAATTTAGTTTTAGTGGGTTTGAAAGTTTAGAAGAAAGATCAAACTTGGACCATTATAGGATGCAATGCCCTACAAGAAAATGTAACCAGAACAATCATGGTTCCTCAACCACACATCTAATGTACGAAGGTTTGCTTAATATCTTTCTGTCCTTAACCAAATAGCCACACACATAGCAACCTTTTCATTAGAAAATTTGCACCAATGGGAATAAACTATTAATACACCATTATCATATAATTAAGTCAGCAAAAAAAATCAATATACATAATCAAATCCCACTTAAAAATAAATAAAAACTCCACTTAAAAAGATAAAAATAAGAGGCATAGAATGCCAATGTATCATGAGAGAGAGAGAGAGAGAGAGAGAGAGAGAGAGGGTTTAGGAATCATGTTACAGAAAGTATGAATGCATAGTGAAAACTTACATTGGGTGTAATCCTTCAATGACTAGGATCTTGGGTGGCTTGATGAGCTCAGGAGGGTCCAAGAGACCAGTGACATGGTTATAAATAGGCTTGTCAACAGCAACACCACTCTTGATAGCCTTAACCTGCTCATACATGAGATCAAAATTGTTGGATCTTGGATCGAGTGCAGTTACTTCTTTTTCTTTCCTCCCAGTCCTATCCAGTGAATGATAATCATCCAAACATATCACAGTGGTCATGTCATTGATGAGTGTGTTTGAATCTGGGTTACCACCCTTTGGTGGCTCTGCTGCTCCTCCAAACACACTTGTTAGCCTCCTCATGAAGGTGCTCTTCCCACAACCAGAGTCAGCTGCCAAGCCAATCACAACAGTCTGTGAGTCACCAGCGGAGCATGTTATCTCAGAGGAACCATTTTTACTTCCTCTCCCGCTGGTTTTCTGGCTGGTGCTGTAGAAAACCACCTGGTTTTGGTGAAATCCTAGGTGGGTTTTTGTGGGTGTGGAGATTGAACAGGTAGAATTGAGGGATTGGATTGTGCAGAATGTGCAAACTGCCATTTTCGATCTCTTTCCCACAAGAGTTCTGGTGGGTTTTGAGAGAGAAGGAGATGACTTATTATGAATTTATTGGGAGTTCTCAGCTGGTTTTGAGAGGTTTCATGCATGGTTTTAAGGAAAAGTTTTGAGACACAAATGAAAAGAGATCCTTATGGCTAGAGAAAAACAGAAGGCAATTTTGTTTGGATTTGGAAGGGAAAATGCTAATTGGATTTAAAACACCACTTGATTTGTGACTTTATCAATCATAATCATTAAATAGATAATAGGTTTCAATAAATATTGAGTTTCACAGTTTAATCAATAACAGTGATTGATTAAGTTAACATTTTAAATTCACGTAACACAGCTCTATAAGGAAGTGCTTGTTTTGGGGAGGGAAAGCTCAAGGGTATGTGGTGTGGTTATGGGTTTCTATGGCTACCCCTTGTTTTTAACAAATTTGGAGGTGGTTTTTTAGTGGGGGCATGTTTGTGATTATAATACTTTATATCTCCTTATAATTTATTATATTTTCTTCTATGTATTATTTGGTTATTATACTAAAAAGATGGAATTGTTGATGAGCTGATGGTGGTTGTGATAAAAAAATATAGGGATGGAGAAGCTTAGTGGTAATTTGTTGCAGTTTGGTTAGTTCCCCTGCCACGTGTCACCAGGGTGGAGGCTTTTAGAAGATAGGAGGGTGTGGACTGTGGAGTTAAGGAGATATGTGTTATGGTCCTTATATCATATCATCCCATTCAACTTTGGATTACCAAATTGGATTAATCCGTAATATTATTAGGATCTAAAAATTTAATTTAATTTAATTTATTAATTTTATGATATGTGAAAATTAACATGATCCAATAACCACAATTGTTGGATCTTTTTTATTAGAACCATTTCAATTGACATATTATTTTTTGGGTAAGTGCAATTGACATATTATTAAGTTAATAAATTAGGTAAAATGTGTAATTCCCGAAAGTATTACTATTTTGTGGCGTCGTCCCAAAGGTTACTATTTTTAAGGTTAAATTACACCTTTTAAAATTAAAATTCTAATTGCTTGAGATAATTCATGATCGATAATGAAATGTTGTGATCAATCACGAATACTCTGTAATTTGTTTCAATTATATTTCAAAAAATTTTAAAAATTTCAATACAGGTTGGTATGTTAATGTCAGTCGTCCTCTAACCTAGAGTTAGAAATTCACTCATAGGGAATCTAAAAAGAGATGGAATATCACATTCTAGTTCACAAAGAGAAAAACAATTCAATCTGCAATAACCCAATACTTAAACAAAAACGTGCACAATATATGCAGGTCCTGAATTCGAGCCTCTTTAGCTGCATAAAGTTCCATTAAAGTCACATTATTATATCAATAAATTATATTAAATTTTTAGATTTAAATAGAATTACTGTCATAAATAACTGCATGCATCTAAAATTTGCAGTGCAACCATTAATTCAAAAGATAAGTGGTTAAAACAATTCTCTGTCAAAAAAAAAAAAAGATTAATTCTAGTTTGTTCAATAAATTCATTGCAGTGTTTTTCAAGTTTAATAAACTATTTCTATATATATTTCAACATTTTTCCCCGTTTCTTATATATATATATATATATATATACTAGTTATATTAAGGCACGAAAGAATATAAAATTCGAACTACCAAAAAATCAATCACATTATATTAAATAACAATTTTTTCCTTCATTTATTTGAAGGCATCATTTAAAATTTATTTTTACCCATTATTTTTTTTAAAATATCGACAAAATTTTTTCAAAATATATAATCTGACCAAAATTTTGCAATATGTGTATAGATAATATCTGAAATAAAAATTATTTTAAACTATAAATCAATTAAATATTAAATAATTGAGTGTGTAATAAGATGGGTGATGTGATAAAATTACTGGGAAAAATATGCAAGAGAAAAAATTCAACTTCTCGTGTAATTTATTATATAAATNTGATTGAGTATGTAATAAGATGGGTGATGTGATAAAATTATTGGGAAAAATATGCAAGAGAAAAAATTCAACTTCTCGTGTAATTTATTATATAAATATACTAGTTATTGTCTGTGCCTGAAAGCACAGAGTAATAAAAAATGATAAACAATAAACATATTTGTATTCATATCCAAAATCAAATCATAAACATAGAGAAGAGATAAATAAATTTAAGCATCGGTTTGTAATGAGGGTGAGAGATGGTGGGCGCCAATGGTGGTGGTAGAAGACGGTGATAGTTGCGGTGAGTGGTGTCAGCGACGAGGGCGACGGCGACGACGGTGGTGGCGACGACGTCGGCAATGGTGGTGATAGTGACGACGACAACAACGGTGGTGGTGGTGGGCGTGGCGAGGGTGGTGGTGGTGGGCGTGGCAGTGACAGCGACGGTGGTGATGATGACAACGACAATGGTGGTGACAGCTGTGATGGTGGCGGTGACGGCAACAGTGGTGGTAACAGTGGTAGTGGTACTGGTGATGGCAGTGATTGTGGTGACGACGATAATGGGGGTGACGATGGTGGTAATGACGACAGTGGCGATGGCAATGACGATGGCAGTGGTGGCAGTGACGGTGACGGTGGTGGTAGTAAAAATAGTGGTATGACAGTTCAAACACTATTTTTTTTAAAGTATTTATGAAAAATATTTTTAAAACACACCCTTAAACCTCTATTTTTCCTATCAAATTTAGAGTGTTAATATTAACTGTTAAATTAACTTTAAAATAAAATTTAAAATAATTTAAACCATAAAAAATAAATTTTATTTTATTTACCTTTTAAAATTTAAATTACAAGCTACTTTATTATATAAATATAAATTTAATCCTTTAGATTACACTTTCACTTAACCTTAAGCGTATCATGAATTCAATTACAATCCATTATATTTAAGTGAGTCCGCATGAACACACGATCAATAATCTCCCATTAAAAATCTCTATCCGTTTCTTTCGATTTCGATTTCTTAGTACGAATGGGTGATGATGCTATGCCCTTATATGCTAAAACGTTCTTTCTGAAATAAACTTCGGCACTAGAGGTGTGAGGTGCATCACAAGTAAGATAGTCCAGTGGCATTGGGACCATTGAATTTTGATCCTCTCTCCTTTCTTTTTTTCAATTTTTCTTGCAGATAAATCGAGTGCTATGAATTCAAGTAGAACTCTCTACGAGCTAGCCGGGCCTACAAGAGCTTATTGTAGTAGAAAACTCAAGTTCAAGTTGAGGTTGTCGAACTTATTTTTCTAATTGAACCTAAAAAATTGTTAAAGTTTGACACATTTAAAAAATGAATCGAGCCCCAGTAGGGTCTAAAACGAGCTGAACTCAAGCCTAACTTTGCGAGCTCGAGCCAATTCAGGCTCGTTTTCTAAATAGGCCTAAAAAAAATTTAAAACTCGACTCATTTAAAACACGAATCAAACTTGAGTCGAGTCAAGTCAAGCCCAATCTAAACTCGAATAGCTCGTCTCAATTATCGGCCCGGCCCTAGATAGCCATAGAGCGTTCATTACTAGTGGATAGCCAGAAGTCTGCAGGCAGAAGCTTTAAGAGGTAGGCAGGGATACTTTTACCTGTTGCCCTACCCATTCATGTGAAAAATTTCGAAGTCTTGGTAGCAAAGGTAACTCAACAGCATCCATTGACTTGCAACACAACCAACCATCCAAAGATGAACTCCCTGCAACACTAAACTAACTAAGCCAACCACTGATCCTTGCATTTAATCACAACACTGCTTCAATCTCAGCACCATGGTACTTTGCAAGGATGACGACAACTACCAGTGTATTCCCTCGCAGCAAGTTAGAAAGGACTTTCCACAAGATGATATGAAAGCATACTTACATGAAACGGGATGGCAAACAGGGTTTATTTCCCGGTCTTCCCGAGCTCATGCATCTTCCATGAAAGTATCAGTAGAACTGTAAGCACTCATAAATTGCCAACCAAATTAAAATGGCAAAAAAAAACAAGCAGCATGATTTATTATCGAAGAATCAACCACTTATAGTATACAAATTGTACAAGTAGCAAACGCATAGATTTAACTTTAAAAACTTGCACACGCAATGGAATAGTCATCAAGGGAATCCAATTAGCATCACTTACATTAAATAAAACTTCATATCATTTGGACTATATAATGGAGAGTACCATTTGCCAATAATTTTCTACTGGCATACTGACCAGAAATACTATGAAAAGAAAACAAGATTACGAGAGGACGAATATGATTAGTAACACATGAGAATTAGAAATATTATCAATGGCGGGGGAAAATAGTTAACCTCGAAAATAACAAACACTGCTATTAAGCACGCCAATCATTGTATTTCAGCTCAGTCAAACATCTCAAAAAAGAGATGATAGATGATACACAGGGAGAGAGAAGAATATACTCAGACACCTCAAGTAATATTGAAACGCAAGAATGGAATAACAACTCAGGCGGCCGCAATGCCGCATCACTTATGCCCTCGGAAATACATATAAATTTTCTGCAGAAATAGGAAAGAACACAGTTTCACTGACTAAATTAAAGAAACAAAAAGAAAAAAGAGAAGGCTTACCTACATTGCATGGGCAAAAAAAACACCATTTGCCTGATGCCACGCATAAGAGAATATCACATCCATCTACTCCATCACAATTTTAACTTGCCATTTTCCTCTTTGTGGTTTGATTATGGGATACGGTTAACAAATTTTTCTTTATTTTCTCCACATTTAAACTGTACAAGTGCTAAACCAACATCAACCCATGAACAAATGCCAGTGCAGAGATGTTGTAGGGGCCCACAACAGCAATGGCCAAATTGATCCCAAAAAACAGAAAAACAAAACAAAATAGTTGAGAAACAAGTATGGGAAAGTTGTTGCTGTCAACAAGAGAGTCATGAGGCAGTCCCACTAAAGTTCTTAAACCCATTGAACAACTCACAGACATGATGGTTTATATCCCCTCAGTTCTCTGACTTAACGTGGTGTACACGCTCAACCAACCCACCCCATTATAGATACATTGCTTAGAGTATGCTGACTACAATGTGTGTGTGCATGCTTGTGTTTAGGGGAAACAACCAATGGTGGAAAAGGCTCCTAAGTGAAAAAGAAATGCA